GTAATTAGTGAATATATTATTGTTTTGCATTTTTGACCAAAAATAAATTAATGTTAATTGATAGATAATTTTAGCGTAAAAGCAACGTTGTAGTATTTTATTGCTAAGTTATTTTAATAATTGTAACATCAATTCTTGTTTAGCCAAAAAAAATAAAATAAAATAAATATAATGGCCAAACTGGTGAATTTTTTAACTATTCTACTGTTCGTCATCTTTGTCAGCTGCCAAGATGAAGCACCTCGAATTGACTGTCATCCGGAACCCGGTGCCTCAAAAGAACGGTGTACGGCAAGAGGTTGCCGTTGGAGTGAATCAAATGTTTGAATTTGGTTTTTTCTTCTCTTTTTCTCTTTTTTCTTTTCTTTGCTTTATTTTTTATTTATTGATGTAAAAGTGATGTGAACAAATAGAAACAAAGGTGATACAAAAAAGTGAAAATAATTGAATAACAATGATGTAGAAATACACTTTGTGAACTAAAAAAAAAATTTTCAGATAAAAAGTATTACTTCCAAAAAAAGGTAAAAAACTCTTATTTAGTAATTTTGCACTATAAAATGTAATTGCTAGAAAATGAATCTTTAAGTAAGAACAAAAAACTAACAACATATCATCAATTAAATAAAGCGTTAAGTAGAAATTTCTCTTGTTTTGAGATAACTATCAGACGAATACTTTTGTTACTCATTAGGCTGTTTTTCAGGTAAGGAAGAACTTTTCTTGATATATTTCACAGATTTAAAGGATAACAAGTAAATTCCACAATTCAGCGAAATTTCATTTTCTCGACTTTTCATTTTCATACCATACATTTTAACCAAAGTTGGCGCTGCATAGTTTGTTTGATTTTTAATGCTCATAACGACAAATGATAAATTTACAAGCAAATTTTTCTTTTGATTATCAATACCATAATCGAAAAAAAAGAGCCACAATAAAATAAATGATTTATTTGATAAAAGTCATCAATATTACCTCTTAAGTTTAAATTTTATTACTGCTTCACTTTTTTATGCACCGCAAAACTGAAAACAGTAAAAAAAAATTTTTTTTGAATTTACAACAATAAAAGCAGCAAAAGAATGCCATAAAAACAAAAAAAATTTAGAATTTCTTTTTATCTCAACAGTAATTCTCAGTTTCAATAGTAGTATTCTATTTTTAACTACTGTTTGCTCCAATATTTATTGCTAATTTTCAACCAAATACATTCCTACATTTTTTAAACTTCTAGCTTTAAAGTTCTGTAACGAAAATACATTGGTCAATCCACCAATAATTTGAAAAGTCAAAAATTAAGAAGGGAAAGTCAATACAATTAAAATTAGCTCATGTTTCTTTTTAATAAATAAAGTTCGCAGTAACAGGAAAACGAAAAGCTTAGACTAAGAAAGTTTTAGATTACTGGTGCTCCATACTGTGTACTGCCGACTACCACTGGGTACTCGGTACAAACTTCGAGTGACACAACATATTTGCTAATTAAAATAGTCAGTCCCGAAAACCCAAAAAATCCGTTTGGTGATGACATAACACCACTGTCTTTTGAAGTTAAAAAATATGGATCAATTTTGAACATACGAATAACTGATCCAAACAACAAACGGTTTGCCCAACCTTTTTTTTTCGTAAACTCAGTATTCCCGTCAACTTTTAACATTTTAAAGTATTTGTGACAATAAAATTAAAAGATTAATATCAGCACTTACATTGGAAAATAAAAGTTAAGGTGCCTCTAAATAAAGACCATTAAAAAATTATGATTTGTTGAATAATGTTACAGCTACGAACCACCAATTGATCTGCCTAGAGAAACAGCAAGTTCTTCGGAAAATTTAGAATTCAAAGCAACTACCGATAAATCACTCTTCACATTTAAAATTCAACGTAGAACTGGTGTGGCAATTTGGGACACTAGCATCGGTAAGTTTCATCAGAATACAACATTTAAGCAGTTTCAGAACAGAAAAAAATCTAACTGTTCGTACCATTATTTCCCGGGGTTCCTTTTTTTCCAAGAAACGGCAGCTTTCTTAGGAGCTTCTGAGTACAATTTAAAAGCGTTTATCTTCCCTAGCAAAACTAAAAATTGTAGATAATTCGAGGATGAAATATAGAAATTATTTGTTAAATTATTTCTTCTTTTTTTTGTTCTAAATATTCACTGTTCTTGAATCAAGATGCAAAATAAGAATAAATACTGTTCTTAAAAGTAAAAAAACGATACTTTGACATTAATTTTTTACTTGCTGTACTAAGGTAAGAGAGAGATAGTGAGCAGTTAATCTGAACAGGTCAGGAAAATATGTTGCTAGTTCTGTTGTTTCAACAAACATTTCTTATCATTAATAGAAACCAGTAAGAAATATAAGAAATTTCTACAATAGATGCATTGTTTTTTGAAAGTTTAGAAAAATGCAATTGAATTTCAGGTGGTCTTTTGTTCGCAGATCAGTATATTCAGATCGCCACTTTGCTACCATCAGACAGAATTGCAGGATTTGGCGAACACGTTCATAGGCACTTGATGGTAACAGATTAGAATTATTGCTGTGTATAATAGTTTTTGTTCAGCTTAAGTCAAAGCTTTCATAACTTTATAAGAACTACTTGGTAATGATAAAACATAAAAGATGAAAGTTTTGTAGCATGATCTTACTCGGTACACGACCTGGCCAATGTTTGCTCGAGACGACGGACCAGATTCTCAACAAGAATTAAATACGAAAAATTATTATGGTGTTCATCCATTTTATTTGTGCGTCGAAGAAGGTGGTAAAGCACATGGAGTAGTTTTTATCAATAGTAATGCCCAGGTTTGTCTAAGACATAAAGCAGTTTCTCTTTACACTAATAACAGCTCATAACGAAATGCTTATGCACTCACGCCTTGAACATTGTATTTTAAAAGTCCCGACAAGTAATCGGTATATTTAGGAAGTAACGCTCGGCCCTAAATCACTGGTTTATCGTACTATTGGAGGTATATTAGACATAGCCTTCTTTCCTGGACCAACTCCTGATGACGTCATTTCTCAATATTTGGGCTTCATTGGAAGACCAAAACTGCAAGCCTACTGGGCTTTAGGTTATCAGGTACTGTCAACCAGTATAAATGAGTTTGCTCACAATTTCTAATAACAATGGCTGCGTTCTGTAAAGTAATATTCAATACTTATCCATATTTAGCTCAGCCGTTGGGGATATGAGAGCTTAAGTGACATGCAACAAGCAGTCAACAGAACGCAGCAAGCAGATATTCCACTGGATATTATTTACGCAGATATTGACTATATGAACGGATACAGAGATTTCAGTGAGGTAGATATTTCTAAAATGCTATGATTATTGTAACCTAACTGTGAATTTCGAAAACTTTAGTTGCACTAGCAGCGAAACTGTTTTTCAAAAGCCAATTACGAGATTCAAAACAAAAAAATAAAAAATAAGCGGTACAAAAATAGAATAACTCTACAGACAAATTGCTTCAACGTAGTATAATGCCAAACAGTGTCATACACCAATTAAAACTACTAGTTCATCAAACCAACTTTTCTTCTTAGCATTGACCTATTATGTAATTTTCCAACAACTTCAGTTTTTTGAAACTTAACAGCAAATACTTTTTCATAACAGAATCCCAAATGGGTAGGTTTTGACGATTACGTGAAACAGAAACGTGCTGAAGGTTTGCATACAATACTGATATTTGACCCGGCGATTGAAGTTGACTATGACAGTTTTAATCGGTCTGAATCTCAGGTCATTAACTGCGTAATTTTTAAGATAAATAGTAGAAAAGTGATAAAGACGCATTGTTTTTATCTTATTTAAAAGAAAATTTTTCAACTAATTTTTTAATTTAATTAATTTATAATAAATTTTTAAATTTGTAGGGGGTTAGTTACATCGAATGGCCGGATCACAAGTATGTGCCAGATAGAGTTGAAGCGAATTATTCGATGTTAATAGACAAGAATGTTATGCTTGGAAACGTGTGGCCATCAAGGAATACAGCTATGCCAGACTTTTTAGATCCAAAGAATAATACAGTAAATTGGTGGAAAAGCGAATTTGTCAAGTTTCACGAAAAAGTATTTTTGTAACATATAGCTATAAGTAATATGACATTTAACTGAAAATCACGTAGGTGTGCTGAAAAAAGACTGTAATAGTTTTGTAGTGGTAATGATCACTACAAGATTTTCAATTTTATTGTCAAGAGAAGGGGTTTTTCAAATCTTCCCTGCTTGTCACAGAAAGAAGTTTTGTCACTGACACAAGATCTCTTTTCTGGGTTTTCTTGCTTACTTTTACATTTCTTGTCAACATTACTGAGTTCTAATAAAGCAAAACTACATTTGCTGCCGTTAGAACTGATGGTGGAAGTGACAAAATAAGGTGTTTTGAAAAAATTGTTCTAATTCATCAAGACTGTCAAATGATTCTTAAGCTTTAGACTGTTCAGTCGTCATTTTTAGTCTTCATCTGTCTTGCAGTGTCCTTAAGACTGTTGCTGAGATATCGGTTACTCTAGAAATCACTAGTCGAGTTATTCTGCAAAATGCTGCTCTAGTTTTGACTAATAATTAAATTAAAAGCATTAATAAATTTCTTTCTTTAGTGCCCACTTGACGGGATATGGATTGACATGAACGAACCTTCCAACTTTGACACTGGCGTTTACAATGCGAGTGGTGGTAACGTTTAACTGTCATTAAATTTTGAATTGCTGCACTACTAATTATTACATTTCTGAGGCTGATTACTAAGTTAAGCAGTCCGCATAAAGTACTTTTAATTTAAAGATACTGCAGGTGAAAAACCGCCAGAAAACTTTAAACTATCGTGCCCTGTTGGTCAGGGTTTTACCCTGGACGATCCCCCATACCCCACTCAGGCAGTTTTCCTTCGCGGCAATAAGGTGATAGTAAAGCGTTTTTAAACTGTTTAGCATAAAGCGCATAAAAATTTTAATTAATGTTTTTTATGAAATTTCAGGAGTACCTTTCAGCGAAAACTTTGTGCATGATTGGCAAAACCGGAAGGAATTCGTACAACTTTTACGACACTAAGAACTTGTATGGCTGGTCTGAAATGAAAGCCACTGCTGTGGCATTAAATGCTATAGATTCGGGAAAACGTGGAGCTGTAATTTCAAGGTTTTAACTTTTATTACTCTTACAATCTTCTAAAACTTTTTTTCGTTAGTATGACATTTTTTAGCGAAAAAACTGCTTCAAATTCTGAACGTTCAGGTCAACTTTTATTTCTTCTGGAAGGTATGGTGGTCATTGGCTTGGGGATAATACCGCAACTTGGAACGACCTACGTTCTGCAATAATAGGAACTATGGAGTTTAATATGTTTGGCATACCATATGTGGGATCTGATATTTGTGGCTTCAATGGTAATACAACAGAAGAGCTGTGTCTTCGATGGCACCAAGTCGGTGCATTCCATCCATTTTCAAGGTATAGTGAAAAAATGTTATAATATCAAGCTGATACTTTTATCATTTTTTGCTTGTTTTAGAAATCATAATACAAAAGGAGCACGACCTCAAGATCCAGCTTTGTGGTCATCAGTTGGAAGAGCAGCAAGAGAAGCACTCAAATTGAGATATCGTTTGCTTCCACATTTGTACAGGTAACTGTTAAGAACGATTTTTTTGTTATCTCTTGATTTGTATACATGACGCAATAAACAAATGATTAGGAAGCACAATATGTTTAAAAAACCTTGATACTAGTTTGAACGTTGAGACAACTAATAACAGTTTTTTTTGAGGCTGATTAAAAGGTATTTTTTTGTTCTCCTTTTTTAAGCTTTCATTTTAACCGGTTAGTTTGTAGTTTGTGATGCCAAAGAATCTGTCTTTTAAAAAATTTGCCAGAAGATTATTTTTAAAAATATCTGTTTAAGCCTAATGTACAATGCACACCTTTACGGAAAAATGGTCATTCGACCGCTTTTCTTTTCATATCCCACTGATGAAGCTGCTATGGAGTTTGATAACCAGTTTATGTGGGGTGATTCAATCATGTTTGCTCCTATTATAACAGAGGTTACTGACAATTCTATCAAAATTTATCTTCAAAAAAAGTTATTTTTCGTTCTACGTTATTATTCATTTCAGAAGACAGACACTCGATTAGCCTATTTCCCGTCAGGTTTTTGGTATAGCATTCGTTCAAACGATTATGGTCAATTATTCGCTGGCTCAGTAAAAGGAATGATGAGAAGGGTGCATGGACCGAAAGACTGGAATACTCCAGTGTACCTATTAGGTACTATAATTTTAAGTGACTTGCGGCACAAAGATGATATTAATAATTGTTGTGAAGAAAAAATAATAACTTATTCAATAGAAAGGGAATTATTTTATATTGAAGGCGGCAAAATCGTGCCCACACAAATTCCGTCGAAGACGACGAATGAAACCAGGAAAAACCCATTTGGCTTAATTATAGCTTTGGGTAGGTACTGTTTCTAAATGACTAACAATTTTATTATTATAATCGAGTCTGCATAAAATTCACTGATAAATTTTCAAAAAAAGACTTTTGTGAGGAAGTAACTCTTAGTTCAAATATAAATCTATGTTTTGACTAGCTAAAGCTATTACTAAACGTGGATATAATTATTAATTCTTATAAAAAGCAAAATACGTAACAAATTTTGCTTTACAAATTTATTTATAGTGAAGACTCATTGTAATAAACCTTTCAAGTTGAATGTATTATGTTGAGGGTAATGATGCGAAACAATCATTAAGAAAATGCCGTATTCCAAAAGTTTTACTGCTTTTAGAGTCGTCGAGTGCCACATGGGATGATGCAAAGGGTGAGATGTATTGGGATGACGGTGACAGCAACGATGGTATATACGCACATTGGACATTCGAATTTCGGGCGCAACCGATGAATGCCACTTTAAAGATAAGAAGGACTGATCCAGGAAATGTAGTATTTTTGGTCTTTTAACCAATGCTTGGTTGACACTGCATTAAGCAGCTGAGTTAACAATATTTTTTGATTTCTGATTAGCTATACTGTTCAGCGTATAACGGAGAACGAATCAAAATTTACTGAAATGACGTTCCATGAAGTGATGAAAATTTTCTTCAGTTTGCTACTGTTTAGAACGGTTTGGAAGTACCATCATTGGACGTCATCGACATTTTGGGTTATGATCGTAACGTCAACACGTCGTCGTTCACTTTGAATAACAAACCACACATAATCAACTCATCAGCAATCAATTACAATCGTGGTCTAAAGCTGCTTGAGTTCAAGATAAAGAACTTTTTGTCACTAAAAATGGACTCACAGGTACTTTTCTGGCAACACGGTGAATTTGATAAAATATCAACTCCTACACCAACTGGCGCACCAAATCCAACTACTGCGCCAACTGACGGATCTCCAGAAACAAAATTAACCACGATACCTGTTGCGCTACTAATTTTTATAATTTTCTTCTCATTAATAAGTAACGAGTGACAGCCTGTCATTCTGCCAGACTGTCTTTCTAAGTAAAATAATCAATGACTGTAAATTCTTAGTTGGTAATTATTCTTTTCGTAATTAACAGAATAAATTATTTGTCAGATAGCCGTTCCTTTTTAATATAGATACTACAGCAATGATCAGCGACTTAGAGCAACTATAAATTAAAAATTCAAATATGAAATGGGGGAGCAAGATCAAAAAAGTTATTAAGCCTCAAAGATTTTTGACATCAGGATACACATTAAGAACTCGCATTCAGAAGAAAAATCTGCACAGGAAAGATTGCCGCGCACTTATGAATCAGAAGCATATGTCATGTGACAACACCAAATAACATCAACGACGTTACCATTATATATACACTTAGTCATAGCTGACTACTTTTACCCTTAACAAATCAAAAGAACTAATTTAGCCTCTCAACAGTCAGTTGAACTTTAAGAACCGGCGTTGAGAATAAAAGGTGGTGTAGACTAGAGCTTCCTATTCAAAATATTACCGGGAGAAAAAGCAATTAATTTTTTACTTTCTATTACTCAAACTTTTACAGTAAGTGAATGAAGTATTGATAAATTTAGTCGGTAACACTCATCAAACAGCAATCAGACTTTGTTCTATCTTTCTCGGCACTTCCTCAGAATCTATGCCTGACCACTTATGTAAGACCTTTCCTACTGATTTTTGGTAAAAATCCAACCAGAGAAAGCATGACTCTTAAAACTTTTCTTTTTTCTTTCCAGCACTATGGAGATGCTTCATCTCCTTAGTCCAAAAATTTTAAATTTCATTGCAGAAATCTACGTCTAAGTCTCAAAAAATCCACTTTTAAACTGCAACTCCATCCTGCTTCCGTCTGTTTTAAGGCAAACGTCTTAGCAATTCATAACAGATTGTAAACTTCGTCTATTGTGAAGTCCTGAACTTTGTTAGCCTTCCAAAAATCGCAAACCTACTTCAAAAACAGCCAGAAAAAAACACACGTCTATGTTTTACCAATATATATTATGAATGTGGTTAAGAATGGTGATTTTTGATAGTAATTATAATGCTGGCTAGTTACATCTTCAACCACAACTATTTTCTAAATTCACCTTGTTAACCGCTTGAAGCAGTTAGAGGAGAGAAAGATTCAGCAAATTTTTACTGCCATTTAGAAATCTGGAAAAAGAATATTTAAACTCAAGTTGCTAACCTAGAAATAACAGAAACAAAAGTTATTAGAACTAAAACTTTAGATACCTTGAGACGCATTGATGGTTGTTATGCTTACTCTACTTGAGCATTTGCTGCGACGTTTTCATGTGTAAAGAATATAATGCAACTAACACCATGTAAATAAAGGATAGACAGCTGTAAAATTTGAAACTGCTGGATTACCTTTAAAAGGATAAACAAATATTTTAGAGAGTTTATTTACAGCAAGCTAACATAAAATTTAGCTCGGTCCTAATGAGTAAAGCTTCAACTGCTTTTTTTTAAAGCTTTTTAGTGTGAACCTAAGTCAAAATTTTGTTCTGAATACAAATAGCCGTTTGTCGTTCATCTGTACAGTTTTTGCAGATCCTGCTGCTATTAATTTTCTTAAACACTTTTTTCAGCGAAAAATAATCGTTATTACTTGAAGCCTAAGTTTTAGTCATTAGTTTAAAACTAAAAGTAGTTTTTGCCTAGTAATTAAAATTTGCTCAAGAGTAGTTTTTTTCCTGTTGTTTCTTTTGTGAGCTCAGTAGTCATTAATTCACCATAACGATTACTGCTCAATAATCCTCAAAGACAAGTTCAAGACATAAGGAGAAAATTTAGCATGATGAAGCTGTAAAAGTATATCCTTGTTCTGCTACAGAACGTTTTCTAACAAAACATCACGAATTGCTACCAATTAGGCAGGTTCCTCAGCTGCTCAGTAACAGATCCAAGAAAAAGTAAGACGATGAAAAATAAAGAAAAGAATAGCCAAAAAAAACTTGAACATTTAAGCAAATTACACACAGAAAAAAATACGCTAACTTCTTTGAAGAATGACACTTTTCTACTTTTCAAGTAAATGGGTACAATAAATTTTCTCTTTTTTTTTCCTACTTCTCATAGTCCTCAAAAGCATTTTTTTACCCCCAAAATAATAACTAAAACTTGATTTTCAGAAGTCGTTCGGCACATCAGACTAATTTTATTATATAGCGCCAACAGTAAAACCAAAAAAACTTTACTACTAACTAGTGTATCATCAACATTCAAATCACATCAAAACTTGACAAAAAACTGATCGCTTTTTCAAGTTTTTCATTAGTTATTCAAACTCCAAATGTTTTTGATCGTCTTTATTTACCTAAATTATTTCTCCAATTAGCCGTTAACAAATATTTTCACATTTTTTTCTCTCTCTCTTATTCTTCACGTATATGTCTGTTGAAAATACTCTCCAAAAAAAATATCCCTTCCTCAACATCACTGAAAATTAGGCAACACCGTCCGAGAAATAATATTTCCGAAAAAATGGTTACGGTACTCTAAGGCTTAAAAGACTTTCCACTAAACGTTTGCCAATGCATTTCCAAAAGGTCGCTAAATTTAAAAGTTAAATTAAATGAGATCTTTCTTCTACTTTTGTCCTACTAAAGTTAATCTTTCCGTTCCTCCTCATTAACTAAGCTATAAGTAAACAGATGTAAAAAATGAAAAAAAATTTTTTTTTTTTGCATCACATACTCAACTTTTTATTTCTTGAAAATTGTTTATAAAAAGTAATTTTTTCAATAAAAAACTATTTATTGACTACCAAACTACAGTGAAAAATTTTAAATGTTGAAAACAAACTTATACATGTACGGCCCTTATATAACACAAAAAAACCACCATAATTAATAAGTAACCAGCCAAAAAGTACAGTCGTTTGTTTCGCTTGATGCCATTTAAAACTCATTTATTTAAATAAACAAAAAATCCTAATAATTGGAAAATTTTTATTCAATCAGTGGAACAAAACTATTTTAACGGCTAATGTAGAAGTGACTATAAAAAACAGAATCAGCTGCGTCATTAAGAACTGAATCACAATCGCCTCCACTTCTAAAACTGCTCATCCTGACTCTCACGACAAATCTACCATTTACTTCAGAAAAATTATGCCAAAAATCTCATTTTCGTTCCAGAGTTTCAAAACCTCATTAAACCAACCTCGCCTAAACAGCTTCGCTGAGGAATACTAAAAAAGACAACACGGGTAATGTGCAGATTTACCCCACCGTGGTAATCGCAACCCTTGCATACAGAGAGATTTGAATCATTATAACCAGTTTGCTCAAGCTCCAAGAAAGCCTTTCCACATGCAGCTATATAATTACTTATACAAAAAGAACAACTTTATGCACCATCAAGAATTTAAACTGTAATTTTTTTGTGAGACTTTTTCGTTTAGAATAAAGTATAAGTACAAATAAAAAAAGCAGTAAATAAAGAGAAGCAACTAGCCGAAAAAACCATAACACAACATACAAACCCCAACAGACAAAGAAAATGTCTAGAATCTCTAGTCACCAAAAAAAAAATCAAAAGTGCTTTCAAGAGTACTGAATTAAACGACAGTTTACAACAAAAAGATACTAAGAGCTAATAAATTTTTTGCTGAAAAATTACCGCTTATCGCAAGACTTCTTAATTCCTACTAAGAATTCTAAAATAACATTTATTCAAAAATATGCCAACAATATAACAAAGTGTCACAACAAAATGTTAATTCATCTCAATCAAAAATCTGACAAATCTGGATCGTTAACTGATTATATACGTACAACAAATTACACTTTGCCCATCCGGTCAAAACCAAAAGACGATGTGAAGTTGCAGTAAACGAGTGACAATCGTCGGAAACAAAACTGGCTTTTGAATTTTCCCCACAAAGAAATTAACAATACTGTGATTAAAAGAGGAAAAGAACTATAGACCTAATTATAAGTCACGTACCTCACACGAATCACACTTGCAATTTACACAAAATTTATCTGCAGCCAGTGCTAGTAAGAACAGTCACTGCAAAAATAATGCTTCAATACCTTCAAAACAAAAAACCCTAGAAGAGCTCTTGATTAAAGAAAATTTAAATTTAACAGTATCTTCACTGTCCCAGACTCCACTTTCGTTTTCCGCATCGATCACAGCGCCAAAGACGACGACTTTTACTTTTATTTTCGTCTCCTTCTCCCAGCAAATTCCGCTAAAAAATTGAAAAACTGTGCGCTTCCAAATAGCAGTTGCATCAAGTTCACGATACAGCGCAAGAAAAAGTAAAGTTTGAGAACGAACAAGACGCATCAAGCAAAGTAAAGAATCTGAAATGCCAACTTTCTCATGATTTTCCAATGAGTTCGACATTGCATTCTTCATAATATCAAACGCCTGTTCAGTCCCAATTACGTCTTCCACACATTTCAAAAAAGCATCGCTGACACCAACAACTTCCTCTCCAGAAATCTTTCCCTCCTTAATCCAAATTCTTAAACAATAACTTAGAACAAAAACAAAAAATCTACCTTTTCTACAAGACTGTTTCAGGCAACTCAAGCCCTACGCCATTTTAAGGACCAGAACATGACTAAAACTGATGCATCGTGTAGAAGAAGAATTAGCCGATAAAATTGCGCAAATCAGTTATTTTTCTCACACCCATCAGTTGTACTAGTAAAAAGTTTCTGACCAAATTGGAAGACTACAGTCCAAATAAGTTAAACGAAAATGGTAACCTACTTTCTGCGCTTCGAGCTGGTTTAGCTGGTGTTGTACGTAACGAAAAAAGGATATTTCCCTGCACATCTTCTTCCCTTTAATAGTATTAAGTATCTAAAAAATAAAAGGTAAAAAAATTTACGGCAGTAAACTGTAGTAAGAACAGTTCCTTCACCATATATGACAGAAATAGGAAAGACGGTACTACCACAACCCGAGTCAAGAAACACTCTGAGCCAAAGTGCAACAGTGCAGGACTTTTCTAGCTTCCCACGCGTACAAAATTTTACTTTATCTGTATCATCAATCAAAGCACCTTTTCAGGAGTGCCAATCATTATAAATATCATCTAAGTCAAAAATACCAATTCCCCTGTTCAGAGCAATGATAATAGTCCATATCAACGCAGTTGTATGCGACATTTGGTTGAGAAAGGGAATGAGTGTACCTCACGTAGCACTCCCCTTCTTCTTAAAGTATCTCTGTCTCAAAAAAAGACCACAAGTGGAGAAATAAGCCTGAGCCATCACCTTCAACAGCGCCTCAAACCAAACGAGGGTAAAAAAAACTTGACGCCTGTTCCTCTCCTACTTCTCACTGCAGTATTAAAAATAAACACCAAGTTACTCCTCTATCCGTTATTTTGCAAATTTATTTAGAATTCTGCATCCTGAAAAAAGCTTAAGAGTGTAGAAAAACACATCAGCCGCAAATGACAACAGTCGCATTTTGCTTTCAACTTCCAAAAAAAGAAGCTACTTATTAAGATTCAACACCCATCAAGAAAATTTTTTCAACCGCTCCTACTCTACTTATCTCCAAATAGTTTTTAGAACTCAGACAAGCATTTGTCTCACTACACTAGCCCCCCGTTCAATAATTATTTCAATGTCTCCGCTCTTCTGTGTTAAAACCATTTCATTGCTAAGCCGTGTACCACATTACCTTGATCAAGCTTCCCTAGTGACTTAGACAGACTTTCCCCACAAAACTGCTAACTCCTTTTTGATCAGAATTACACAGCTATACCTTCTAAACAGAACAGGTAAAATAAAAGCTATATGTGGGTGATCTTGGAATTGCAACACTGAAGTATACACAAGTGACAAGTGAAAAGCGCGATAACAAAAATTGTGAAGCTCCAAATCTAACTTTCAGGGACTTCCAGTTGTATGTAAATCCACATCAAAAAAACCACGCTTAGCCAAAAGTTCTATCCATTTCTCCAAAACAAATTCCAAAGGATGCAATTGACAGTTTTAAAAAAAGTATCTCTTTATGCTCCAGTGTGATCGTTTTTACAACTTTCAATCACCCCGTCTGCTGGTAAAGAATCTGCATCCATTTACAAATCCCCCCTTCCCCCACTAAAACATAAAACATGAGTCTCTTCACCAAACCCCTAAAAACTTCAAGCAGAAAAATAAAAAGAACTTGTGTTGCAACATAATGTCTTACCTACCTTCATGATGCGATCGTTTTGTTTGCGGTAAGCATCTGGTATCCCCAAGGGACACAGCTTTCTGGTTGCGGCAGCGCCAAAAATTTTCAAACCATTGTCTGTTTCCAGATTACTCAAAAGAAACCATTACAAAACTTCAAAATGGCCTAGCAAAATTTTAAATTCTACGCTACACACAGAAAACACAATAATATGCTTATATTCATGTATCATAAGTGTCCAAGAACCCCATTTCGACTTAACGCTTCTTCTTCAGTCCTAGCTAAGAATAACCTTGAGTTATCAGTGTAAAAACAAGATCACTTAAGCCTCAGTTTTGCTACTTAGAACGTCAAAGTGTAAGGTTTGTATTCAGGTCACTTGAAAGAAACCATTTCAAAACTTCAAAGTGACCTAGTAAAATTAGTGAGAACCAATTTTTACAAAAAGCGACGTCCTTAACAAAAGTCGCCTACCTGCTTAAAATCTTGAAAAGCGAAAGAGATACTCTGTGTAAATGGCTGATAAAAAGAAGGCGCTCTCAAGTTAGTAACTAAATACCAACAAAATTTGAGAAAGCCGACCTTACAGCAAGTGTAACAAATTTTGCTTCTTCACTAAAAAGGGAAGATAACTGTATACGAGCAATAAACTCAAGTGACAACAACGAGTGAGGTCTTTGAAGCTCGCCTGATGACTAACGTCCTGCTGCTCGAACTTTCGCTTTTCTTCAAAACAAATAGCGTGCGACAAAATACTTTGCAAAACTGCTAATGATCAAAAACTTGTTCACTACGACAAGCTTATGTTAATTTAACAGATGAAAAATAACTAGCCAGCTAAGAATGACCCTCAAAATTTGCCAAGACACTATTAGAAACCCGCTCTTAGCTTCATTAAATTCTGCCTTATTAGGCAGCACTAACAGTTTATTAATATGAGAAGCCGTTTTCCCATCCAACGGGTATCGCCATCCTTTGACGACATGGCTGATTAGTAGCTGAGAAATGAGTCGTACTACTTCAGGTAACCAATGTACACCATCTTTTCTACAAACAATGAACTTTGGATTTAACAAGTCAATCCGTTACAATGAAAAGTAACACGGAATAAAAGTTTTCTAAAGTAGGAAAGCATTAGAGCAGCCCTTTTAAGGCCAAAGAATAAAAGATTGTAGAAAATTTCACAAGATGAAAAGAGTAACACCCCATACATCCGTGTTTTTTTGGTTAAACTTAGACTCTTTTTCACAGCACTTATAATCAAAGTTTTCGTACTACTTAATTACCGATTCTTTCATAACATCATTTAAAAATTCCAAATTTTAACCGTAAAAGTCAACCAATCAAAAATTATTAGATTGTGAAAAGAACAGAAAAAAAAAAGTGAACAATTAAAATCGAAAAATTAAATGGGAAAGACCCATACGATTGAAACCGATTGAAATGGGGGATCCTGAGTAAAAAATCGATATCTGCTACATCGTACCCAGCTGCGCGAACTATCTGAGATGCAATGTAATTCGCATGAGCCACTAATCTTCTAAAACAATCTACGTAAAGAAAAATGAATAGCTGTTTTACTACAATGTTTTATTACAATTTATTACAAGTTTCTCCACAATAATTAACCAGCCTATTCAAAAACGTGCAGAACTGTTGAGAAATCCATATAAAACACAATTTTCGTCTTACTAAAATATAACTGCTAATGAATTTGCCTGGTCAAGATAACGAAATCACATTCTGTCTAAGATAAGAAAAACACTGAAAGCTTCATTTTCTAAAACAGAAAAAAGATACAAATCCGAAGCTAACAGTTCAAAAAATACTGACAAGAAGAAGAAAGAACTGAAAGACGAAAGTGAAAAACATCTGCTAACTTTCTTGCTTTTTTGTTCCTCTATTTAACCTCGCTATAAAAGTGCCCACCACAAATCCTTACTTATTTTGCACTTTTAACCTCAAAAATTTTTGTTTGACTTTTTCGCATGCGAATTTCGCAGCCTTAGATTAAGCCGTTTCGAACAACTACCTGTTATCAATTGAAAATCGCCCAAGAGGCAACAGCTTTTGAATTACACAAAAAAGATTCGTCATAAGCAACGGAAGATAGATGTTACTAATTTATTTTATGACACAAAGAGAATCAACTTCAAAGAAGCGAAGGAAAAACGCTTCTTGAATGGTTTTCCCTCCTTATTTCTTCTATGAAGAACAGTTAAATAAGGCATGTCTTCTGGTGCACGCATTTTCTTTTCCTACCTCTTTTGTATAAGAAAATTCAAGCCGATGAACTAGCTAAACATTAGTAAGACATCAAAGAAGAAATCAACCCTTCCGTGATGCTAATGAAATCAAGAAAACGAAGTAGATCTATACATCTAATCAATTATACCACTGATGCAAAAATAAATAAATAAATAAAACTGAAAGAATGGTTAGTGGGTAGACTTTAAACATAGCAAATCTGTGATAACTTTCTTAAGAAGAATTTAGCTGGACAGAGTGAGTAAACGAAATACTCATATGTGGAAAAAAAAGAGAAAAATAAAGTGCTGGCGAGTGAAGAGAACAGAACTATGGAGAACAAACCCGTTATACTCGTTGCTGTTAAGCTGATGTACAGAAGCGCTCTGACTTTTTCGAACTGGCGGTGTAGTAACCCATATGACCATTGTTCCCCCAGGTAAGAAATCATGTAAGCTCCTCATCAACCTGCTCAACCTTCAAGTAAAGCTTTTCGAAAATAAAATTAACAAAGAGCCATCTCTAAGAGTAAAAACTATCTGAAAAAATCAACAGCTAAAAGAGAACCTCAAACATATGTAACCTACAAAAAAATGATACTGTGTAAGTAATTAAGAAGCAGAAGCAGTCTTTCCTAGACCAGACTTGAACAGAACATGTAATACATTATTCAAAGATGAGTTTATCAATTTCTAGAATCCTAACAGTAAAGAGCAGTAAATGCTGAGTAGATAATGCGACGGAATAATTCAAAAAACCATAGCCATCCATTTTCTCACATAATGACAATAATTACCTGTCAGCATACTGCTGTAAACCGCTTCTCTCATCTTCTTCTGAACGTTCGCCATCCCGATTAAGCGTTGCACAGCCATTAGGATGACTGCCATAACGAGATACATCCCACAAACAAGAATTCAAAAAGAGGACATCCGGAGGCTCATGAAGGAACGAGCAAAGTAACTTTTTCACTTCATCATTCATGCATCTGTAAAAGAAATCTTACACTTTGAAAAAGACAGTGATAAAAGTCTTTGTTCTAGGTTGAAGTGTACAAGCGAGCAGTACACGTATAACGACGTAGCAAATAACGCCAGGTAAAGCACTAGCCTAGAAACAAAATTATATCGCACAAGATGCGTAGCGTCTGAATATTCTCTAGAACATTTTGTTAATGGACCATTAAACGCTTTTTCATTCTGATCTGTCTGAACATCACCCATACACACGGGTTCATTAACCTTCCTCAATACCGACTGTTGACAGAGCCCATCCCTCTGCAGTAAGCAGATAAAGTCCTTATACTGCGTCCGTAAAACTGAAATCCGCTTCACACATTCAGCAGAAAAAAAAGCATAAAGTGCAAGAATTTCTTCTTATAGGAAAATAAAATTAATGACCGTTAGAAAGCAAAACAGTTGATAAAAACAACATAAATACTGTAGGAAGGAGACTGACTGGAATCCCCGGCAAAAAGTACATAGGTGTTTGTAAATAACTTTCTCACAAACTCGCTATTGAATGGAAATATTTCGTCTAAATCTGCTTTTGAAAAGATGAAACGGTATTCGTCAGAAGCCTCTAAACAGATGAAAGATCAATTTAAAGTTTGCACGGCATCATCATTTTCATTAACGCCGGCAAAAAAATATTTATTTCTAAACGAAATAGCAAACAGTTGAAACAGATTACCACTCTGTCGGCATTCTTCTGTACCCAACAACTGCTCATCATCCATTTCAACCCTGACAGAAAAATGTTGATATTCACCAGTGCCCAATACTTCAGGACTGCCCAAGTACCCGACCGTATCAGAACTGTTACGCAATTTGCACTTTAAAAAGTAATACAGAAAATGATCGCTCGATTAAATGGTGGCTGGGAAAGTCAACTGAGATTCGTGCTAAGAGCCACACGTCGTTTGCTAAAAATTTTTTAAACCTTAGCTTTAATAATGAAGCGCCATTTGCACTGTTAACACCGTAACTGATCGATTCGCGTCCACCCGAAGGGTGCTGATGCTGTACGTCAGCTGAATTACTCAAACCCTATACTGTGTCTGTGCAACAGAGGACAGATACTCAGAAATTGTGAAGGTTTTGTTAAAAATAAAGCCGATTCGAATGTGAAAGACAGACTGCAGGTAAAGAACAGTTGAAAACGTTGAAGAAAGTCAGTTAAAATCTGAAAACTTTTAATTAAAAGCAGTTCGGTATAAAATAAGAGAACAGTGTACAGATCGTTCAAGAAGAATAAGTTGCAGAAAAACCTTCGAAAGAAATATAGAAAACAGAAAAGTAATTAAGTAAATAATTTTAAAAAAAAATAATTATTTTGTGAAACAATAAAATTTTTTATGTTTTTTCAGAGTATTTGTTTACTGTGCATTTTTACTCATTTCACCCGCTAATAATTTTTTTTTTTTGTCAAAAGAATAGTCAAAATGTTAATAAAAGTTCAATGCGATAAAAAGTGAGGTAACCGGAATTTTGATGTAACTTAACTTTTTGGAAGAACATTTAATAATTAGTTTTAAAAATTTTATTGAGGATCGGAAAATTTTGAATTTAGCTGAAGCGGATTATAAATTATTACTAAAAAATGGCTCACCTGGTAGAGAATCATCTGCGTAATCTCTCTGTTTCAGAGGTTCGAAAACTGAAGACACGAATAATTTATATGCTTAAAATAGTTTCAACATTATCGCGTTATTTGAGCCCTATTGCTGTCCTCTGAAAGTTACTGAAATGTAGTGCGGTCTACAGGAAACTTCTGGTTTAATAATTCCTTGTATTATCTCCTATAAAAGTTCCTGTGTTATCTTTACTTCTTCATTTAACTAACCTTGAAGTAATACGTTGCCATAGCTAAAAACTGTATATGTATCTACCAGAATAATTTGGAAATCGTTTAAATTTTTTCTTGGCTTATAATATTTTAAAATACCAGTTTGCATCCACCCACAAAATTCTTCCCAACTGAAACAGAAAACGTGTGTCTCTCGTCAAAGTCTACTATACCAAAAAAAATCTACTTGTTATTACTATTACGTTCTTTATTTGCTCCATTAAGTCGATAGAGCAAAATTATAGCTAGCCAAAATTACTTACTAAATGTAGTAAGCTGCCTTGTTGATCTTCCCCAAAAGTTCAGATGACCCGCCTCTCTCACCAATGATTTTTAGAACATTCCAAGGTTTCTGAAATATTTCGGCATATGCTTCTTATTTCTCGTTCTTTTATGCTCCTGATTCTGCATTACTACTGTTTTGCCGAGCAACTTCTGCTTTTACAGGCTCTTTGAAGATGTTTTACGGCTGGCTGCTATTACTTTTGCGTCGTTGAAAGGTCAACAATAGCTTTCTAATTCAAAAGTAAAGCCGATGTTCAAAGTCAGTGCTTTCACGGTATATAGGCTTGTGATCGTTCAGCTGTTTTACTATAATTGGAAAGAATAGGATTGATTGGATTTTATCAGTGAATTGAGTAATAGGCGCAACGCAGAAAGGAAGAACCCTCTTCCCTGGTACTTTATCGCTCCCTCACTGTGCTGGAATTCAGTATCCAACCGCCCTATCGAAGTCGTCGTTGACGACTTCCGAGAACTCATTATTGATCTACGTTTAGCATACCGCTATTTTCTGATGCATTTGGATGACTACTGATTGGTATACACAGAGGGCTTTTTTACAAGATTTAGATCAGGTGACAAAGTGTCTTACTGAATTGGTGAACGTCCACTTAAACTGGTCTTTGTCAAGGTTGTTTCTTATTCTTTTTCTCTCACTGCAACAAGAAGTTTTTGACCTCTGTGAGCATACTCTTTTATAACATCTCTTTTGTTTCTTCAAAAGGAAGGAGTAGAAGGGGGCTTTTCAATTACTGAAAGGACCAGAAGGAAAAGGGCAAATGAAAGCTGCAATGACAATTACTGAACAATAACTAATGCTCAAGTAAAGTGAGGGGAAAAAATTACAGTGAATTAATTCCATGCATTGCTTCTAATTAAAACAATAGATCCTTGCTACAGATTCTTCAAGTCTAAACTTTGATGGCGAAGGAAGTTGGACAGGATTTGTATTTTTTCAATATTTAACTGGAGTAGAATGAAATCATTGTCTATTACTCTTCTTCTGAGTATGTTGTGTATTTTATGCTGTTTGGCTAAACTGATTTGATAACAAAATTTTGTTATTGTATTCAAACGCCACACATATATACAAATAATTAAACAAAAAAAGAAAAAAAAAAAACAAAAAACAAAATCTGAAAGCAAAAAGAATCACAGTACGTCAGTCTGATCAGCAACACATTAGTGATACACTTTGCTGCCAACGTTTGCCACTGAATATTAGTGCACATGTTAACGTGCAATTATTAAGTTATTAGAAAAAATTCAAGAAAAAAAAGTCAAATAATATTTGTCTTTTTACATAAAACTTAAGATGAACAAAGGTTGTTTATCTCTAAAAGCATTTCTATGATTTTTAGTTAAGGAAAGAAAGTAATCACTTAATTTGTTTTGTCTAACAGCTCAAATACACTAGAACCACTAGTGGTAGACCATAGAAATATACCAATAAATTTGATTTGAAAATCAAACTGTATAACAAATGCAACTGAAATTTAAGATTATAGATTATACATTAGAAGAAAATTCTGGAAAATAGTTGTAACTAATTTTTTGCTACCTTAAGTGGTTGAACATTAACACCTAACTAACTAGTCTAACGGTTACATTCTCTTAACGATTAAAAAACGATAAAGACAAAAAGAAAAGAAAAAAAAATGATGAGGATGATGAAAAGAAAAACAGAAAAACATCTACCATCAAAAATTTCTTCACCTTGTTTTTTTTTAACTTTTTCTTTTTTGTTGGAAAATTCTGATCATTAATTAAAAGTAAAAAAAAAAAAAAAAAAAAAAAAAAAAAAAA